CTTAATTTACAGGTCTATTTTGTCTTGTTCCATTTGCAAAGTGCCTCACTTACCTTCTCAATTCAAGCAAAAATGACTTCTTTAGGTTTTTATTTTTTGCAGTTTAGTAGCTGCATGTTGGGACTAAATACAGAGCTGGAGAAAAATGAAATGTTTCTGTTGAAGGTCATAAGAAGCAGCTTGGATCTATGGATGTACAGGTAAAAGCCAGTAAATTAGAATATTTTGAAAAACTTGATTTATTTCAGTAATTGCATTCAAAAGGTGTAACTTGTACATTATATTTATTCATTGCACACAGACTGATGCATTCAAATGTTTATTTCATTTAATTTTGATGATTTGAAGTGGCAACAAATGAAAATCCAAAATTCCGTGTGTCACAAAATTAGAATATTGGGTTAAATTTTGAAGACACCCGATGCCACAAACTAATCAGCTGATTAACTCAAACACCTGCAAAGGGCTTTAAATGGTCTCTCAGCCCAGTTCTGAAGCCGACACAAACATGGGGAAGACTTCAGATTTGACAGCTGTCCAAAAGGCGACCATCGACACATTGCACAAGGAGGGAAAGACACAAAAGGTTATTGCTTAAGAGGCTGGCTGTTCTCAGAGCTCTGTGTCCAAACACATTAATAGAGAGGCAAAGGGAAGGAAGAACTGTGGTCAGCGATAGGGATCACCGCGCCCTAGTCAAGATTCACAAGGAGTGGAAAGCTGCTGGAGTCGGTGCTTCAAGATCCACCACCAAGAGACGCCTGAAAGACATGGGTTTCAGCTGCCGCATACCTCGTGTCAAGCCACTGTTGACCAAGAAACAGCGCGAAAAGCGTCTCACCTGGGCTAAGGAAAGAAAGAGCTGGACTGCTGCTGAGTGGTCCAAAGTCATGTTTTCTGACCAAAGCAAATGTTGCATTTCCTTTGGAGATCGAGGTCCCAGAGTCTGGAGGAAGACAGGAGAGGCACAGGATCCACGCTGCCTGAAGTCTAGTGGAAAGTTTCCACCATCAGTGATGGTTTGGGGTGCCATGTCATCTGCTGGTGTCGGTCCACTCTGTTTCCTGAGATCCAGGGTCAACGCAGCCGTCTACCAGCAGGTTTTAGAGCACTTCATGCTTCCTGCTGCTGACCTGCTCTATGGAGATGGAGATTTCAGGTTCCAACAGGACTTGGCGCCTGAACACAGCGCTAAATCTACCCGTGCCTGGTTTACGGACCATGGTGTTTCTGTTCTAAATTGGCCAGCCAACTCCCCTGACCTTAGCCCCATAGAAAATCTGTGGACTATTGTGAAAAGGAAGATGCAGAATGCCAGACCCAAAAACGCAGAAGAGTTGAAGGCCACTATCAGAGCAACCTGGGCTCTCATAACACCTGAGCAGAGCCAGAAACTCATCCACTCCATCCCACGCCGCATTAATGCAGTCATTGAGGCAAAAGGAGCTCCAACCAAGTATTGTACATGCTCATATTTTTCATTTTCATACTTTTCAGTTGGCCAACATTTCTAAAAATCCCTTTTTTGTTTTAGCCTTAAGTAATATTCTAATTTTGTGACACACGAAATTTTGGATTTTCATTTGTTGCCGCTTCAAATCATCAAAATTAAATGAAATAAACATTTGAATGCATCAGTCTGTGTGCAATGAATAAATATAATGTACAAGTTACACCTTTTGAATGCAATTACTGAAATAAATCAAAATATTCTAATTTACTGGCTTTTACCTGTAGATGGTGGATATTGAAACCACGATAATGTCATAACATCAAAGAGGCGTTTTTAGCTTCACCTCAAGGAACTATTAACTGAATGGATCAGTTCAGGTTGATTAGTTCTTCTCTCCGAAGGTTCAGTTCTTTCCTCATTTCTCTATTATTAGACAATCTGGAATCTGATAGCAGGAGACTGGGGGGGGTTAACACTGCAAAAAATGTGGATTTGTTCTCCGATTGAGGAGGTAGGCAGAGGTGTCAAGTAACAAAGTACAAATACTTTGTTACTGTACTTAAGTACACTTTTTAGGTATCTATACTGTACTCCATTACTTATTTTTCTTCCTACTTCTACTCATTACATTTTCACACAGTATCTGTACTTTCTGTTCCTTACATTTTTAAATCAAACGTTTCTAAATCTTTATTTCCCGTCATGTGCTCCATCCAATGCAGATCATTGGCTCCACCCACATCTAGTGAAAACTAGTGTGATTGGATGAGTCATAGAAGGCATTATCTACAGACAGGATTAGAGTTTCCACCATAAACCATGACTTTCTGCAGCTTTTAATCCTCCATCTTCAAGTTAAATAAGTCTTAAATCAGGCAATCATTCACCTGAAGCTCCATAAAACTATTTATAGGCAGAGATCAAGGTGTGACCTTAGCCTCTGCAGCAGACAGATAAGAGGCTCTTATTTATGGGCTGCCTGGTTCATTCTGCTGCAGAGAACCAGAAAACAGGATTTTAGCTCCACTGAGAGAATCTCTGAACATCTGACTTTATAAACAGTGACCCCAGCGCTGGTGAACGCACCGTCACACCCTCTAACCAGTCACTGGATGGTCTCCATCAGGCTTTATTTCTACCTGTAGCCGTTACCTTTCTGTTTTCCTTGCTGGATTTTTCCTGGTGCCTTCCCTAGAGACACGTGACGAGTTAGGCAAAGGGCAGCCGTTCACTGACTGTCTGTGTCTCTCACCCTCCTCCCTCTCTTCACGCGCCGACCGGCTGCCCTGTCCAGAGGAGTAAAGTTCAGGGTCCCCAGGAGGAGAGGGAGATCACGGTTCTGCCCAGCAGGAGGACTGACGGAGCGGAGGACTCAGACAGGGTGATACTGGGACCCCAGGAAGCCGTGGTGAGACGGTTCTAGGTTAGAAAAGCTGCTTCTCATCCAGAGCTGGAGCCTCTAGATCTGACCTCAGACAGCAGGTTGGAGAAAAGGCAGGACCCTGATTGTTTTATATATGAAGGATCACATTATTTTAGTTTTATTTATTAACTGCGTGGAACGATACCTTCACAGTCATTGTTTTACTTTCCTGATGATCATAGCAGGAACAGGATTTCTAGGATGGTTTCACTGCTTTTTACTGCAGCTCTATCATCTGTGTGTGTCTAACCCTCCGTTTGGTCGTCTGCAGTAAAATATAATGTTGGACCAGACTGTTGGACTCATGGTTCCTCTTTATACTATCAGATACCTCCTGGGTTGTGTTGGATCCTCCTTTTCTTCAGTCTCATACAGTCGTTTCTCAGGGCCTGCTTCGGTGGCGCCGTGGTCAGCGCACACGACCCACGTACGGAGGCCTTAGTCCTCAATGTGGCCGACCCGGTTTTGAATCCGACGTGTGGTCCTTTACCGCATGTTTCTCCCCCACTCTCATACCTACCTACCTGTCAGCCTACTGCCCAAAAACGAGCCACTAGTGCCGTAAAAACCTAAAAAAATTATAAAGTTGTTTCACTGTGAAGGGAACTCTCTCAAGAGGTCATCCTCAAAGCTCTGCCTCTTTGCTGTTTTTACTCTTCCTGTTCTCATCCTCGGATGTTTTCTACTGGGTTCTCTTTCATTTCATCCAAATATCAACTTTGCTCACTGGATGTTCCTGATAAAGCTTATAGTTAGAGTGGCTCAGGTTATCCTGATCTATCTCTATAGTTATGCTGCTATAGGCTTAGACTGCTGGAGGACATAGGGACCCCTTTTTCATCATTCTGCTTCATTCTATCTCTATTCTCCCACTCTGCAGAATCTGTTAGTTCAATCTCTAACGTTCTGCTCTCTCTGCTTTTTCTCATAGTAGCTTCATCTGGTCTGTTCCTGTTTGGCTGTGACTCCATCCTGGAGAGAAATATCAGCTGTGCTGCTGCCATCAACACCTTTGTTTCTAGATGTTGGAGCTTGGCCTGTTTTCCAGTGTAGTCCTGTTTCTCTGACTGTGACTAACTGGATGTGCTCTCTTCATCCTCTGACATGGGAGCTGGCTCGGAGCTCGTCTGCCTGGCTGTGTGTTTCCTGGACGGGGCCGCCTGTGGAGCTGGTTGACAGTTGCCTTTTGTATCTATGCTTCTTTTTCTATGTCTGCTTCTCTCTCCTTGAACCCCAGTGGGCCTCAGCAGATGGCCGCTCACACTGAGCCTGGTTCTGCTGGAGGTTTCTTCCTGTTCAAAGGGAGTTTTTCCTCTCCACTGTCGCTACAAGCATGCTTAGTGGGAGGGATTGCTGAAGAGTCAATGAGTCGATGCAATCAGCTGGTTTTCCGTAGATAGAAAACTTTGAATCAATCTGACTGGATGATCTGGTGAACTGGAAAGTGACCTGAGATGACATGATGTGAATTGGAGCTATAGAAATAAATTAAATAGAATTGAATTCTTGCTCTACATTCCTATTTGGGCCTTTTCTAATGACATCCATTGGTAAAGATGTGAATCAAAGCACATTCCTTCCAAAAGCATTCCTCAGTCTCAGTAACCTGGTATAAGGCAGATTGATACCATGTGGAATTTGAATTGAACTACGCCTGTCGATCTGGGAAGGCTCCCGTAGGAAGAGTTTGAAAAAGGGAGGGACGTTCTATCAAATTCTTTGAGCTGATTTGGTATCTGCCTCCCATACTGAGATTTTAGCCAATCACAGCAGCAGTACTAGCTTGATTTGTTTCACAGCAAACAGAGTTAGCTGATAAATCAAACTTACCAAGTCCGGTTAGGGGGAACGCACAACGATCTTCCCACACATCAAGGCAAAAATCCCAAGATGTATTCCAGCTGAAACCGGTGCAGCCATCTGTTGGACACATTGATGGCATTGAGTCAAAACATTTCTGTATCGAGTCAAATGTATCTGCTGGCTTCTGGTTAGATTTATTCTAGGGAGGTTTTTACAATACATCAACAATTCATCTTGCATACAGAATAACAGCCTCAGTCAGGTATTCAAAAAGGATTCAAGATTATTATATCCAGATTTAACCTTCCAGTTTCCTTTCTGGTCTCTGTTCATCTTCAGAAGATGCTGGACTCGTGTTCCTTTGGCTGTGCAACATGTATCGGTCTTAAAGATCGATGTCCTCGACCGAAGGGACTCATCAACCTGCTCTTTACAAAAGGTAACAAACACCAGACCCCAACCGACCCCCTTGTAAGAACCACAGCATGCCCCACTGTGAAAACCCTACCCGTGGGTAGGGGTGTAAATCACGCCCATCATGGCGATTCGATTCAGTATCGATTTCCTGACTCAACGATTCCATTATTTTTGACACCCAACGATAACCCACGATACGATTCTTTTTTTTTTTACCTTACAGGCTAGACAATGTTTCAAATTTGAAATAAATTAATGAAAGCTGTAACATCGTTATGCATTTTATTTGAGAAATAACAGAAGTAGAAAAGTTGTACTCCACCTATTCCTATTAAAACCTAATTCACTGAAAAATAATGATCCCCCTGCGTTATAGATTCTGAAAGGCCTTGCATCAGAAAATCCTGCACATAATCAGTGCAATGAGTGCAATGCAATACCTCGGCCCCAGACTCCGCCCCCTCCACAGACGCTCCGCGGCTCCTCTCCCAAATTGTAGCTGAGCGCAGACAGCGCCGCAGACAGGAGTGTCTCACGTGGGTTTGCTAGAGCTGAGCACAAACGTTATGAAATGCTCTCCTCTACTGTGACATCTAGACTAAGAACAGCACCACGCTCCATTGCTGCGACTGCTACATACCAACCATCCAAAATACTGAGCCTCTGCCATCGTGTTGCTGTTCTGTTGTTCCTGTGACATCAGCTACAGCACTTGCCAAGTCTTAATTTTTAGAGGGAACACATACTTTTTTCTTGGTTTTGGCACCAAAAGAACAACAACGAATTTCCTGGTTCTTGGCGAATATGTAATGCACCTTAGGAATTCCAAAAATGTAAAAAAAAAACAACAATCCAATGGAGTTAACTTTTTTTTTTTGAATGGATATGACTTGGATGACTGAGAATCTTCACCGACATAATGCACCTTACATTCCATTAAACACTCCCCTCCAACCTCTACTGTAAGTCACCCACTAACCCATCTAATAGATTCCCTGTTAGACCAGGACTAACCCCATTGAGAGATTTCCTGTTAGACCAGGACTAACCCCACTGAGAGATTTCCTGTTAGACCAGGACTAACCCCATTGAGAGATTTCCTGTTAGACCAGGACTAACCCCACTGAGAGATTTCCTGTTAGACCACGACTAACCCCACTGAGAGATTTCCTGTTAGACCACGACTAACCCCACTGAGAGATTTCCTGTTAGACCAGGACTAACCCCACTGAGAGATTTCCTGTTAGACCACGACTAACCCCACTGAGAGATTTCCTGTTAGACCAGGACTAACCCCACTGAGAGATTTCCTGTTAGACCAGGACTAACCCCACTGAGAGATTTCCTGTTAGACCAGGACTAACCCCACTGAGAGATTTCCTGTTAGACCAGGACTAACCCCACTGAGAGATTTCCTGTTAGACCAGGACTAACCCCACTGAGAGATTTCCTGTTAGACCAGGACTAACCCCACTGAGAGATTTCCTGTTAGACCAGGACTAACCCCACTGAGAGATTTCCTGTAAGATAACTAACCCCACTGAGAGATTTCCTGTTAGACCAGGACTAACCCCACTGAGAGATTTCCTGTAAGATAACTAACCCCACTGAGAGATTTCCTGTAAGATAACTAACCCCACTGAGAGATTTCCTGTAAGATAACTAACCCCACTGAGAGATTTCCTGTAAGATAACTAACCCCACTGAGAGATTTCCTGTAAGATAACTAACCCCACTGAGAGATTTCCTGTTAGACCAGGACTAACCCCACTGAGAGATTTCCTGTTAGACCAGGACTAACCCCACTGAGAGATTTCCTGTAAGATAACTAACCCCCAGTGTAAACCGGGCCTCACATCTGGTGATTTGATCAATAAGCTAGATGTTGTGAATGCTTGAACACCTGGACCTTTGCCGGCAGCGTGTCTGCTTGCTCTGCTGTTCGGGACGGTCTGGGCCATCACAGGACAGGAATGTTTACCTGGAGGGAATCTGTTTGGGATCGTCATCCTCTTCATCTGCTCTTTTCTGGGTGGGAAGCTGGTGGGAATGATCCAACTGCCGACGCTGCCACCTTTTCCTCCTCTGCTTGGTAAGAACCTTCACTATAATGGATTCCAGTTGATCAGGTCCAGTCGGTCAACAGTGCCAGTCTGTCTCCTTGTTTGCAGGCATGCTGCTGGCAGGCCTCCTGTTGCGTAATATTCCCTACATTACTGATGCCGTCTTCATCGACACCCATTGGTCGGCTGCTCTGAGGAACATCGCCCTCGCTATAATCCTGACCAGAGCCGGGCTTGGCCTCAACCCATCGGTACCAACACTGACAAACCTGCAGTATCTAAACACACCCTGGTTCACCTTCTCATGCTTCAGTGTGTGTCCTGCAGGCACTGCAGCGTCTCAAAGCGGTGTGTATCCGTATCGCGGTGGGTCCCTGCATGGTGGAGGCCTGCATCATCGCTGTGGTTTCTCACTTCCTGCTCAGTCTGCCATGGGTCTGGGGCTTCATTCTGGGGTAAAGCAGGAATACAGCCATACATTTAAAGCTTGGGTTAAACTCTAGAACTGATCTCAGCGTGTGTTTGTGCAGCTTTGTCCTGGGGGCGGTGTCTCCAGCTGTTGTTGTTCCTTCCATGCTGCTTCTACAGAGGGAAGGATATGGAGTGGAGAAGGTATCAACAGTTTGTCTGCAAACACAGTCCCTAAACCAGACTTAACCCGTTTCAGCTTTATAAGATCAACGCTCTGGTTTCAAAAAAGACACAAACCGGCCTTTGTTTGAAGAAAAAGTCTAAATGCGATATTATATCCTACATAAGTCGTACCAACAATTTATGAATGGGTTTGAGTGTATGAACGTGTTTGACACTTGTTTGGCAACTACTTTCTCATGGATTTTAGATTTTTTAAAAAGGAAGAAAGATTAGATATAAGTCAGTTTGCCTGCCTGCGTTATATACCCCTGTATTAGGGATAGATTAATTATATCTAAAATAGGGGTGTGAATGGTTTGCATTGCATCTAAAATGTAAAATTGAAGTTTATATGATGTTAACAGATAACTCAGAAAGCTCAACTACATTACGACAACCCAAATACAAGTCTGTTTTTCCAGTGGCCCCAATGTTGCCTCACTTTCTAGGGATGCATCTCGGAGAATGCCAACAAATTTATATTTCATAGAATCAATCTATTTCATAATAAAAATCTCTATATAGTTGTTTTTGCTGAGAACTGAGAGAATCGATGACTCAATGGCGCTATGACTCTGTACATCTGATAACTCTACTGAACAGAAACCATTTCTTAATATTTTGTATTTATAAAGAAAGGTATGCTGCTTTTATAAAACAGATGACCGGATGAAAGAGGAATCCCTTAGAAGTGTAGTGAGCCATTGTCTTTACAATTTCTGTTAATGATTTTCTTCTTTTTGAGGGGGGCTGCATGTCTAATGTAATACATTATGAGCAAGTAACACCGTCAACAGGAAACTACATTTGTAGAAGGAAAGAACGTTGCTGCCTTCTGTTGTGCTTGTCAGCGATGATGAGGAAAGTAAAAAGCCCTAAAATAAATGCCATATGTAAGCAATAGATCAAGACTATGACTATAACTTGAGTAGCTGTAAGTATATTTTGAGCAAAACAAAATGATTTTAAGATAACATTAAAGGCTAAATATTGGTTTGTCCTTTCATTGTGGGCATGACTGTTACACTAATGCTCAATCAAATTTCTTCAATATTCTGTTGTTAATTGGTTGGAGTCATTTATTTTCATACAGTTCCTTTTTTTTATAAAGCCCTTTTAGATATTTTCTAGTTGATTTCGGCTGTGGGTAAAACACAGTAGGGCAGTGGGTGGGTAACAGTACAAAAGCTGCAGAGAGGTGATGTGATGTCTTGACCAGTCTCCATAGCTGGATCAATCGTGACTAACCTCTAGAATCTATTGACAAATCCTGAAAATAGACCCAGGAACAGCAGGAATTTTCATACATAATTTACTGAAACTGCCTGAAGGTTGGTGGATCATCCAAAGAGATAACTTTTTCTTAACTGTTTTCCTTTCAGGGAATCCCCACGCTGCTGATGGCTGCTGGGAGTTTTGATGATATCCTGGCTATAACCGGATTCTCCACCTGTCTGGGAATCGCCTTTTCCAGTGGTAAGCCATGGGTCATTTAATGTTCCACTAATTTCTACCATTTCTTTCCCACACGTGTTGTTTCTTCTCCAGGTTCTACCTGGATGAACATCCTGAAAGGTCTGATGGAGGTGGTAGGTGGCATCATAGCTGGACTCATCCTCGGCCTGTTCTTGTGCCTCTTCCCAAGCAATGACCAGGTTTGACTACATCAAAGAAATCATCATTTATGACATATAAGTAGTATATGAAGTAGTCTCTGAAGTTTTTTTTTGTCTGTAGGAGGACCTGGTGTTGAGGAGGACCCTCATGTTGTTGGGTCTGTCCATATTTTCGGTCTTCCTCAGTCATGTCATTGGTTTTGCTGGAGCTGGCGGTCTCTGTACTTTGGTACTTTCCTTTATGGCTGCCCTGGGCTGGAAGACTGAAAAGGTAATCCATGCCAAGTTTATTAATAACATGTCCTGATGGTACCCTCTTATAACCCTCCACCTGTCCATGGAGACTCAACATCCGTGAAGTTTAAAGGGCCTGGTCCCATACTACGACTTTACAGGATTCTACGGCCGTAGCTCAGTGTGGTTGCATCCGATTTGGCTTATCATCACATCACAGTGATGTTCAGTCAGAAACCATGGGGATGATCTCCAACTGCAGGACCAAAACTGACTGATGAACCTGCCTGTATCTCCAGGCTCCAGTGGCAGCTATGGTTGGGCAGTCCTGGGATGTTTTTCAGCCTCTCCTGTTTGGTCTGATTGGAGCTGAGATCACCATAACATCGCTTAGCCCCAGCACTGTGGGTAAGAACTGCCAAATTATAACAATTGGACCAAGAACGGATTTTTATGGACTGTTTCCAATCCACCCATCATCTCCTCTATGAATGTCTTTAGTTTCCAACATTCTCAAAATGCTCCTGCACCTAAAACTCTTGCTGTCTCTGCTCAGGTCTGGGCATAGCCTGCATTCTCATTGGTCTGGTGGTCCGTCTGCTCTTCACCTTCCTGGTAGTTCAATCAGGAGGTTTCACCCTGAAGGAGAAAGTCTTCATCGCGGTGGCCTGGCTGCCTAAAGCTACAGTCCAGGTCTGTAAATGCTCATGACATCCAGCTGACTCATGCATGCTGTAGAGCAGATGTTTGACACCTGGAACATTCGATAAGCAGCTAGAACCACTTTTCCACAGGGTGTTTAAATTCAGGATCAAAGCCTGTAACTCACACAGTAATCATGTTCCAGCTGTAATACCATCATATCACTAAAGATACCATCAGGCCATAAAATAATAAAACTCACTGACAGAAATTGTTAATAATTATCTTTTAACAGTGAAAGCGACCCAGCTGATGGGAATCATTTAGAAGTCACTTTGAGATCTGATATCTAAGTGGGAGAAAGTAGCAGAAATAAAAATGAAATCAAAGCCATGTTAGAGGAAAATCCTATAATCAGATCTTCTCAGATCTCCATTAAGGTCCTTAAAAAGTCCCTAACCATAGAAATCTTACAGAAACATTCAATTCTCACCGTTTCTCATTATGGCAACATTAAAGACCACCAGATGGCCCTCATTCCCTTTGGAAGGACTTGGCTAGACCTCATTAGTGGTCCATCAGAACCACTCTGCTCCAAAAGTCCCAAAGTTCTGAGCAGCAGAGGCTGACGCTCTCTTCCAGGACCGTCCTAGTCCCGAGGAGTTTAATCATGTCTCTCTGTCTTTCCACCAGGCAGCTATCGGCTCCAAGGCACTGGACATGGCAAGGGAAGTAGGGGATGAGACCTTGATCAAGTTTGGTCTGGATGTGCTAACATTAGCCGTGTTAGCCATTCTGACCACGGCTCCCGTCGGTGCGCTGGGAATTGGACTGGCTGGACCACGCCTCCTGGCCCGATATGTCAAAGGTTAGTATGAAGGTTGGTTTGGTTGGTTTGACTGAACTTCCTTGAACTATGTAGCCCCTTCAGCAGTCAGGAATGAAAAGAGAAGAAAAATTCCTCTTAACCAAAAAACAGGCAGTTTTTATTCACTTAGCTTTAACTATTGGTTCCTTTTCCACTGAAAGGATCTAAAGTCCCCAGCAAGTTTTATCTGGGTAAAATTAACCGTGGGGAATTCCTTCGCATGCTGTTGAATGGCCCTGTGACATTGACCTAAAGCCGGGCATACACTGTGCAATATATTTAATCGTTGCAAGCAGCTACAGCTTAAACTGTACAATGAAATCGCCGGGTTTAAAAGTTCACAGCTCCCGATGTCTGTTCTCACCCTGTGCGACCTGATGCTCTGATGAAATCTACCTGCTCACACTGTACATCTAAAAACCAGGTGAGACCCAGCCCCGCAGTGAGCTGACGTTACTCGGACTCGTCAATCTGCAAGAAGAATAAGCAGAATTCCCTTGTTTGTAAATGCCCAGTGCTTGAGGTTCCGGTAAATCGGCTCGTAGCTCTGCTTCAACAGCAGGATTTATCCACGACCACCTCACCACGGCTGACTGAATTTCAAACGTATTTGATTTTCTACAGACCTTACAATTCCTGATCGGTATAAGGTCGTGAGAGACTAACCACCCCTCGTTACCCCCCGTATACCACACGATACAGGACGCACGATCAGGAGGAAAGTTGGCCTGATCGGAAAAAGTCTCACACAATTGGAGAATCAGCCCGAAAAGGGCAAAAAAATCTTACAGTCTTTGCCCGGCTTAAGGCAGCATGAAAAATTTGGCACTACACCTTTTTTTCCAGCAGGTGGCAGTAATAGGAATACTGAACTGGTTGTAGCACTAACTCCTAGCCGACCATGTAGTAATAGTCGCTATAGAATAATGCAGTTGATTAATTCCCGTCTTTATTAAAGATGGCAGCTAGTTTACCTCCTCCTGGCCAATAAGTGGTGCATCCCTGCGCACCTGTAGGCCTTCTTAGCCTCCTTGCTTCTAAAATCGTAACCTAAGCTGAAAAGCTCAGCCGATGCTAACATTCAGTTAGCTTCTTTTTCTCAGAGCTGCTAGAGCTGATAATGTCTGAGCTCCATCCCATGTGACTGAAACCTAGCATTCCTATTGGTGCAGAATCCTTTCATGTTCATGTTAACATCATAATCCAAAGTTAACATGTATTTTGGACCCTTCAGAATTTATCAAAAAATTAGTAAAATTAATAACTTAATCTGGATCATTAAACATTCTGTGGCTGTTTTATTATCAAGATTATTTGTTTAGATGAAAAAGTGAAGCTGTTAGTTCACTTTGTTTTTAAAGTTTGAATAATTATTTGACTTTTTTCCCACAAACCTGCATCTCAGCAGAGTTACTGTTTTAAAACTACTGTCTAATATATTTACAATAATTACTAAAATGGAGGTAAGTTAAACTTTATATATCAGATTTAGGTTAGAAAGGACAAATTACTTGACCAAAGTAAATAGATACAACAACAAAAATGTGAGAAAAAGCAGAATTAAAGCGATGAGTTCATTGCTGGCCTTTGGAAAGAAGTCTGCTAATCTGAGAGCGATTATTTTGGGTGTTGAAGAAAACTGAGCAAAATCAACAATGGCCACAGAGGCCTGTGGAGCCTCAAAATAAAGAGGACAGGAATGAGATCTGAAAGTAGATGAAGCCAGGAAGGTTCAAGCTGGAGGACAAATGTTTTAGATCACAACCTGAAATACCATCCCTGAGTGCAACCTAAATGCAATGTTTGCACCTTGAGCATTCAATGAACATGTTGACATGAGGCGAACCGAGGCCAACCAAGGCCAACCGAGGCCAACCAATTTAAACCGAGGCCAACCGAGGCCAAACAAGGCCAACCGAGGCCAACTAAGGCAAACCGAGGCCAACAGAGGCCAACCCGAGGCCAACCAAGGCCAACCGAGGCCAAACCGAGGCCAACCAAGGCCAACCGAGGCCAAACCGAGGCCAACCTAGGCGAACCGAGGCCAACCAAGGCCAACCGAGGCCAACCAATTTAAACCGAGGCCAACCGAGGCCAAACAAGGCCAACCGAGGCCAACTAAGGCCAACTAAGGCCAAACAAGGCCAACCGAGGCCAACTAAGGCAAACCGAAGCCAACAGAGGTGAACCGAGGCCAACCGAGGTGACAGACGCAATAGTGGCAGGACAAAAGGCAAGGTTTTTAAATTTATAGCGAAGCGAGGGCAACGCCACATAATTATAAGACAGAATATCGAATAGGGGGGGGGGGGATAGCGGGGGTCAGCTTTGATATGGAGCTGAAAACCTATGGTTTTATTGCCATAAAACAATAAAGGCTTTTCCATCTACTTCTGTAAAGGCTGTGGATAGAAGGGGAATTTATCAATCAATACATTAGAAATTAGGATGAAAAACAGGAAACTGCTACAATTGTAAAAAAAAGTGACAGGTAATAGTTAACAGTAAATATGTCTGTGCCATTAAATGGAAAGAGAAAGGACTAAATTACCTTTTAAAAGCTTAATAAATGCTTTACTATAAACACTGTTATGTTTGCTTTATTCTGTCAGGGGTCAGGCAGTTGTAAAATAAATAGTCGAATATTTCTCTGTAGGGATTCCTGCCCTGGGACCCCTCTGCAGTGGTATAATCCTCCTCACCTTTATTCCCCCCCACCTGTTTTCACTTTAACTTTCTCACCTGAAAACATCTAGAAACCTCATCTTATTAAATACTTGACTCATAAATATTTGTCGATGGAACAAAGCACTATGGTGGTGAACTGACCCCACCCTCCTACCTGCCTGGAAACCTGAACTCACCCAGGTTACCATGTATGAAGATGCTCCTCCAGGTTTGGAATTTCCCAGGCGTCTCAAACGCCCCGGGCTTTAGAAGGGTCTAATTAAAGCCTGATTGGAAGCAATCAGAAAAACTGTGATTTATCTTCTCTCCGCAGCTAAAACTCTTATCATTTTCTGTCAATCCCAGCAGACGAGTCCGAGAGAGAAGCTCCGCCCACCAGTCCCAATGGACCTGCAGAGGAAAAAACCCATGTGATCTTTGAGACCAAAGTGTGAAGTTCTGAGCGATCCGATGGCTGTTGCCGCTCCAGGTCTCATTGTCAATGTTAGACACAACAGCAGCAGAACCGGAGCAACGGAAAGGATCTGCTTTCCTGGAGTCCCTCCTCCAATTCTGTTTGTTTTATATTGAGATTCGTTATCTTATCAGTAATTGTTTCTAATGACTGATGACATTTGGCTGTTTTTATTGGCTTTCTGACTGTTTCCAGTTTGTTTCTTTTATTTCTCCTTTCAGAATAAAAAGCAAGAATGTTACGCATGACAGGAAGCAGCTGGATGTGTTATTATTGATGTGAAGCAGGCCTGTGGTGCAGCTGTTACCGACGGTGACCTGCAGGTCTCTGCCAGCAGGCTGCCGGTTCCCTCCTTTAAAGCTTAAAGCCTTCATGTAACTGACCTGATGTTGAGCAGGAGAAGGAGGAATCAGAGAAGCTCTGGACTCTTTTCTCCTGCTTTGGTTCTGTTCCTGGTTCAGCTCCAACGGCAGCTCCTTTTCCTGGTTTCAGTCTGAGTCTTTGCTCCGATTCAAAGTCATGCATGTTTGTTAGAAGGAAGCTTCCCGTTGGACGTGCATGACCCGTCCTTTCTGTTCTGTCAGATGAGCATACCTTTAGTTTTTCCCTTTAGTTTTGTACATAAAATACACTTTAACTACTTCAACGGACGTGTAACCCTTTAGCACTAGAACTACTACGGAGGGGTCAATTGTCCTTTTTACCTAAAAGCCCTACAAGAGGGTCATTTGACCTTTGGACCTCCTGCGGACACTCCTTTTGTTGTGGAAATGTGGCTGTTAGCAGCTCATAGCTGTCACAGACTCGCTTGAGCCTGTGTGGGGAAGGGAACCCTAAGGCAAGCTTTTAGTATAGTTTTTAGTGGATTTTTCCGGGTCAATTGACCCCTTAGTTCATTGACCCCCCTAGTTCAATGTACACAGAAAAATCCTGGTAGTTCTAGTGTTAATCAGATACAAAAAACTATTCTATTACTTAGTTTTGGGTTTTAAATTAAATTGTTGGGTTTTTTGTACACGACTAAAAGGCTACAAGCACGTCAAGGTAGCTTAAAATCTATTTTTCTTATAAAACTAAAGGGATAAAAGCAAATCTGATGTCTTGCACGTACGTATTGACTATGGGTATGCTGGTCTGTTGGAAAACCGGTTCTACCCGGTTCTGTCTGTCCTTGTTAGAAACCATAACCCTAATCTCATCTTCCAGCAATAAAAACAGAATTTAATCTGATATCATCCAGTAAACCGTGATTATACATTTTATTAAGTTATGATCCCATTGAAACAATGCTCTGCGTCGCCCTCTAATGGAAGCTCTGCAGCATGTGGCTACAGGTTAAACGTCACATCTGGTGTGCCTGGGGGCAAAGTGAGGTCACCATGCACAGGTGCCACCAAGAGAAGGTGATGGAGGCAGATGAAGCAGAGGCTCAGACTCAGGGAGCTAGATGGGGGGGCAAGGGGGGGGGCATGGCCACCCTTAGCCAATCATTGGCCAACCATTTATCTCCCTCTAATACAGACGGTGCGACAGTAATACTCTCAAATGGAACATTCAAAACATTACATATTTTATATGTTGACAATAACTTGACCACAAAAACAAAGCGGTTAATTATTCTCATCAATATACTAACATTAAAGATAATCAGCACAGAATTCAAGCAGAAACAGATTTGGTGTTTTATGGGTAAAGAGAAAATGATGTTTCTCTGCAAGTCATCTAGGAGCCTTCAGTGAAATCAGAGATAAATAACTATTTTAATAAAAATGTATTAATCAATTTATGTAGATATTAGTACTTGTAAATATGAATTGTACTCAGAATGATTACTGATAAATGTAAGTAATGACAATGGAAAAGATTTTTGCCCAAAACTCAAACCTGAAAGAATTTTATCCACTAAACCTTTTATCTAGAAAGAACAGATGTTTAATATATTCGTCTCTTTGTTAGCAAAGGCTGTAGGATAGGTTGACTTTATTTACAAAGTATGGATGTTTTGCTCATTAATTCTCCTGTTGGAACAGTTTAGATTGACCGGGAGGTTTAGGTGCCTCTCTACGTTTGCCCCCCCTCTGTGTACATTGATTATTGCCTGGCCACCCTTATAACTCACTGACAGACGGCGGGTTGAGTATGAGGACGGCGGGTTGAGTATGAGGACGGCGGTTTGAGCGTGAGGACGGTCAGTTGAGTATGAGGACGGCGGGTTGAGCGTGAGGACGGCGGGTTGAGCGTGAGGACGGCGGGTTGAGCGTGAGGACGGCGGGTTGAGCGTGAGGACGGTCGGTTGAGTATGAGGACGGCGGGTTGAGCGTGAGGACGGTCGGTTGAGTATGAGGACAGCGGTTTGAGCGTGAGGACGGCGGTTTGAGCACGGGGACGGTGGGTTTAATGTTTGTCTGACAGGTTTTGAAAGCGTGCGCTCGATGTTTGAATGCTGAATAATCGTTACACCATAGGAACTCCTCCTCTCTGAGCCACGGTCACCTCTCTACGGTCTTCTCTTTTGGTGTTAAAGTCAACAGCAGCTCTGGAAGGACAAACACTAGCTGAGAATCCAATATGGCCACCGTAAGCTTCTGTGTCTCGTTTATATTGAGCCATTAAAGCTGTTGTGACTGATATTATTCTATGAACACACCCAACCTGCTGTGAGTGAAGGTCATCAGTCAGAGACCTCTACCTCCATCGCTCCACCTCCTGCACAAGCTCAGCCCCCCCCAGAGAGGTGACCTTCCATGTCCCCAGAACCTGTGGTTCCCTGCAACAGACTGGCGCCCTGTGCAGAGTGTACATCCCCATCTGCTGCAGACAGTCGTAGATAGGCACCGACCCCTCCATGACCCTGAGAAGGACTAAGCAGGAGAAAATGTCTGGATGGATGGAATTAATTACAGACCTTGTAATAAATGGAGTCCTGCCATTAGTTTAAACCTGATCATTTTCTTCTGAATATCCTAAACTCAGAGCAGCACCTAAACCTCAGACCACCAGCCTTCATCTTCTAACATACAGCTTCCTGTTTTTCTGGAACAGTTTTTACCTCAGGCTTTCTTCTTCACACCAGCTACCACTCTGAACGTGGTCTGAGAAACCGCAGAGCCGCTCAGAAACGGACAGCTGAAGATCTACAATTACTGACAGCTGCACCAAAAACAAACAAATCCCACATTCTGCCTCTGATCTGCAGCCAAATGTCCTTAAACCACACCCCCAGCTTGGACCACAGCTCAGTCAGAAGGTGGAGGCTCTCCAACCTCACCTGTGTGATCTTTGTATTAGTGGATTTTTTCCAAAATCTGCATTGGGAACCATTGTTTGAGACCAGTTTGAAACTGTGGCTTTAAGGTGAGGCTGTTGAGCTGCAGCTGAACAAAAGGAAATAGATTCTTTTACATCCATTTACCTCTTCAGACTGAGGGGAGGCCTGAATCTCACCCTCTTCATGCAGCTCAGAGTCAATGCTGGATGAAACCAAAGCGGAAACTGAAACCACACCATGTCTGAGCAGCCAGAGATGGAAACCGAGCCCACAGCCTTAATAAACACCAGTTGAACAAAGTGGCACCAAACAAGCATCAGTAGAAGTCTTCCTCTGCTTCTGCTCGGCCTGCTGTGGCAGGAAGAGAAGATGAATTAAACACAACAGCTGCATTTCTAAGACAATCTGATCAATCCAAGAATGACAGAAGAATGAAATAAATCGTACCATCACAAAGACCACTGACTGAAATAAATGCAGGAATAAAAGCTACTGAGGCTGGGACAAAAAGCCGGGGAGATGATGTGTTTTTAAGACAGAATAGATTCAGTAAGAACTTGATTAAAAAAGTCTGATCCAACCTGAGCCTCAGCCTGGGTTTTAGTTCCACAAATAGAAGCTGGTCAGGTTCATGTTTGGTCATCTTCATGCCCACATTCCACAACCGATGGTTCATCTAAAAAAATAGAATAGCATAGAAATACCTTTTATTCTCCAAAGAGGGAGATTAATTAATAAGAATTCAATTAAATTCATTTCAGTTTATTTATATAGCGAGGCCGACTGTGGGGCCGGAGGCGGTGGACATGAGTCTCTGGAGGACAGCCGTGAGGATGACGACGGAGAAGGACCTCTGGAGGACGATGTCTCTTGTTAAATGGGGAAGTTATGTCCCCTAAAAAAGGCCGTTGCGCCTTGGGGCTTCTTCACGATTCTTTTCCTGGGAGCAAGTTATTTACTACTCTTAACTCAAACTAGGTAAAACCATATAAAAAGGACTATAAAAACAGGAGTAAAAAAGTAACAGAGTTTATTCCAGATCAGGTCGTTACAGGACAGAGAAAATGCTTGGAGCTTGCACAGCTGTGGGCAAGAAAAACGTCAGCGAGCGTCCGGCAAAGATTGAGCCCCAAACGAGGTCATCTCCTGCTTCTTATACCTCATGAGTCTATGTGTTGCATCATGTGGATGCTTAGCTGTCCGTATCAGAAACTGACACGCCAGGGACGTGGCTAGACCTATTTTAGGGTGGCTGAAGTCATCCCTTCGTTGGTATTAGCCACCCCATAATTATTTTGCGATTTTTATTGTTATTTTTTTATTTATTGATTTTTTTTTTTCCATATAACCCCAAACAATTGCAGTAAAGCACTGAAAACGAGCCACCAAGAAGGCAAGTTAATCTGAAGATAAGTTCCTGTTAGTTTATTTACAAACACAATTATTTATACAATTATTAATATCGTTAGGATATTCATTTCCTTCATTGGCTCCGCGTCCAGCGTCACGTCACGTGGTACACGGCCATCAACTGGACCATAGCAGCTGTGCAGTGCAGCAACAGCGCGCCCTTTGAATCTCCACACAGTCATCGAGCTTGATTAGGAAAGTTATGGTTGCGTGCAGATACATACGGTGAGTTTGCCATTTGATGTCAGCGGTTTACATTTTCTTCACTTTACCTGGAGTGAGGAAAGAGACAATATAGGCCTAATAGCTTGTCTGATTCAGTAGGAATTACGTTACCATGGTGAACAAAGTCAGTGGTGTGGGAAAACACGATGTTGTTGTAGCCTACTAGCATCATTATAATAGTTTTGTCACAGGAGCAGTGATGGGCAGTAGCGCCGCTACATGTAGCGAAGCTATTAGTTTAACTACATTTTCAAGTAGCTTGACCGTAGCGTCGCTGCTTTATTTATCAAGTAACTTTCCTGTAGCGACGTTATTGTTTTGATCAAGTAGCGACGTAGCGTCCACAA